ATAAAACTTTTATCACCCAAGATATTAATAAGCTTTCCTCTCTGAAGACTTCTAGACTTCCGAAAGAAAATTGCGCAAACCAATTTTTTTTCTCGTAATTTTACCCAAGGAAAATAATTTCGTAAAGTCTATCAAAGAAAACGGAGTAACGACAAGGGTAGTCTCAACAAGAAAGATTTTCGCCAAGGGAATTTAGATATCATTTGGTTTTCGTGATGTTTCATATTAGAAAGATTCTCAATTTGGCAGTTTACATTTTATATTTTTGTTTTTTTTTTTATTTCTTTTTCTTTTATTTATTTATTTTTTCTTTATTATTTATTTATTTTTTTTTCTTTTCTTTCTTTCTTTCTTTCTTTCTTTCTTTCTTTCTCTTTCTTTCTTTCTTTCTTTTTATTTCTTCTTTCTCTTTCTTTCTTTCTTCTTTCTTTCTTTCTTTTTCTTTCTTCTTTCTTTTCTTTCTTTCTCTTCTTTCTTTCTTTCTTTCTTTCTTTTCTTTCTTCTTCTTTCCTCCTTCTTCCCTTCCTTCCTTCCTTCCTTCCTTCCTTCCTTCCTTCCTTCCTTCCTTCCTTCCTTCCTTCCTTCCTTCCTTCCTTTCCTTCTCTCTCTCTCTTTCCTTCCTTCTTTTCTTTTTTCGCGAATTTCACATCATCAAATATAAACAGCGATCAAAATCTTTTTTTTCGCAATCCCTTGTTATGTCCTCAACCACTTGCCAATACTTGTCACCTCTTTCCTTCTCTTTCTTTCGCCTTATATCCTCCGAGGCAAAAATTCGAAGAGTTACTCCCTTAAAAACAAAGACATAAAATAGCCCAGCCCCGTCGTCCGAAAGCGAAGCAACAACCCCGACTTCCACTTAGCGCGGGAGACTTCAGAGAATTTCTGATGCAGTCTTGGAGGGCGAGGTGCGGTGTGGGGGGGGTATAGGGGGGGGAGAGAGGGGTATAACGTTCATCAGTTTAGTGCCATGCATGTTTACATAAAATATATAAAATATATACATATATATATATAATATATATATATTATATATATATATACATACATTATATATATATATATATTAGTGTGTGTGTTTATGTGTGTGTGTGTGTGTATGTGTTATGTATTGTATGTGTATGTGTATGTGTATGTGTATGTGTATGTGTTGTGTATGTGTATGTGTATGTGTATGTGTATGTGTATGTGTATGTGTGTGTGTGTGTGTGTGTGTATAGATAGTAGTGTGTGTGTGTGTGTGTGTGTGTGTAGTGAGTGTGTGTGTGTTATTGGGGGGGGGGGGGTTGAAGAGGAGGGGTATATGTGGTGTTGTGTAGTGTATGTGTATGTGTATGTATGTATGCATTGTATGTATGTAGTATGTGTGCGTGTGCTTGCGTGCGTCTATGTCTGTGTGTATGTGCGTATAATACAGTATAACAAATTGCAATACATTAGCGTGTCCCACTTTGATCTTTTAATTATATCAAGAGATAAAAAGTGCGTGTGCGTGTACTCCTTCCGGTCGCAGTGAAATCGTATTCCTACTTTTAATAAAATGAGAAGCAAGGAGACTGTTCGCTCTCACACGGGCCCGGTTCCACGTGTTGTGAATACGGTTAATGATATACAAATCTAGGAGGTAATGATGTGAGAGAGAAGAGAGAGAGAGGGAGAGAGAAGAGAGAGAGAGAGAGGAGAGAAGGAAGAGAGAGAGAGAGGTGAGAGGGAGAGGGAGAGGAGAGAGAGGGAGAGGGAGAGGGAGAGGGAGAGGGAGAAACAAGAGAGAGAGAGAGAGAGAGAGAGAGAGAGAGAGAGAGAGAGAGAAAAGAAAGAGGGACAGACAGACAGACAGACAGACAGACAGACAGACAGACAGACACACACCACACACACACACACACACACACACACACACACACACACACACACACACACACACACACACACACACACACACACCACACACACACACACAGACAGACAGACAGACAGACAGAGACAGACAGAGAGAGAGAAAAAGGAAAGAGAGAGGGGGCGGAAGGGGAGGAAAGGTAGGGGTAAGAGAGAAAGAGAGAGAAAGAGGGGGCGAAGGGGGAGGCGATAGGGCGGGATGAAGAAAGACGGAGGGATAGAGACAGACAAGCAAACAGACAGACGCTGACACACAGGTAGACAGAGACAAGCAAACAGACAAAGAGAGAGAGAGACAGGGAGACAGAGACAATCAGAGAGAGGCAAACGTAGACACAGAGAAACACAGAGAGAGACAGACGCAAGGACAGAAATGGGATAACCCTTTCCCCTCTCAAGAATTATTTACGGTTTGTGGAGTTTGAGAGAGTTTCTTAAATTACAGTTAATGCATTTTTTTTTTTTTTTTGATCACTTGCTTTGATTACCCTTCGACAATTACGAAAATGCATATATGTAATCCTATACGTGACAATAAATGAAAAAGAAAACTTTGCCAATAACGGTATTTTTTCCTTTCTTTTTCTCCCCCTTTTTTAAAAACTTCAATGTGATACAACCTTTTAAAGATGAAAAAAAATAAAGCAAAAGCATTTTTTTCCCCAAAAAAATGAAGATTCAAAGTTTGTTCAAAGTTTGTTCTCCTGAAAGGCCTTGAGGTAGCGGGAAGTTTAATATGTCTTCGGTACACACGCCTATGGGTCTCTCAGAAACCCGACTTCGCCTTCAACAAACGGAACCCAAAATCCTGGCAAACAAAGCGCCTTACTCTCCCACGAAAGTGTTCAAGTGTACCTGAACAAAGAACTCCCCCCCCCCCCCCCCACCTCCACCCCTGTCCAAGATTCTGTTGCAGATACAAGTCATATAGTATTTCCTGCACAAATAAAAGCCCCGATTTGAACACTGGATCGTCCCAGTCTCCTACGACCGTGTTCAAGTGTTCCTGAACAAAGAACTTTCACCCTCCCCCCCCCACCTTAGATCCTGTTGCAGATACAAGCCATAGAGTATTTCCTGAAGTCTAGACGGGGCTGTGCAAGCCAAGGAAGCCCACGGAGAGATACGGGCTTATTCCGAACTGGTTTTCTGCGTCAGAAACCTAGGCGTCTATTTAAAACCTTTTGTATCCCGATGTCAAGTCTAGAAGTGTTGTAATGACCACGAACTTTGCTTTCTCATTACCATTAACCCTTTATATCTCTGATCGTGTATGGAACCCGCACACGTACGGTACAGACATAATGTGTACACGAACCTTTTGTATCCCAAAGTCAAGTCTAGAAGTGTTGTAATGACCACGAACTTTGCTTTCTCATTACCATTACCCTTTATATTTCTGATCCTGTATGGAACCCGCACACGTATGGGGCAGACATGCATAATGCGCACATGAGCACATACATAAACGTCCACGTCTTCACACGCACACATATACACGACCAGAACACAGAGAATTTGTATGCAGGAATGCTTTGTGTAAAAGGGGTAGGTACGTTGGAGAGAGGGAAGGGAAGGGAAAATATATTATATATATATATATATATATATATATATATATAGAGAGAGAGAGAGAGAGAGAGAGAGAGAGAGAGAGAGAGAGAGAGAGAGAGAGAGAGAGAGAGAGAGAGAGAGAGAGAGAGAGAGAGAGAGAGAGAGAGAGAGAGAGAGAGAGAAGAAGAAACGCACACACATATATATATAGGTGTGTGTGTGTGTGCGTCTGTGTGTGTTTATATGTATATGCATATATGTGTATGTGTGAGTGTGAACGGAGGAGGAGAAAAGGCAAAAGAAAAATAGGAGGAGGAGTAGGATAGAACAAAGTAATAGGGTAGCCTTAGAAGAGAAGAAGAAGACGCATGAGAAGACGGAGAAGAAAATGGAAAGAAAAAATATGAAAAAGGGATATTAGAAGAACGAAGGAGAAGAACAGAAGAAACAGAAAAAGAGAGGAGAAAAGAAAGAAAGGAGAAGAGAAAGAGAGAAGATTAATTGATCACAAGACTAACGAAGAATTTTTTTTTTAATCACGCCCACACTTGCATGACTTTGTAGCCGCACTGCTTTCACTTTTCTGTTACTTATAAGTATGATAAAGTAACTCATTTATTCACCTGTGCATTCGCTTATTCATTTTGGTTATTCTTTCTTTTTCGTTTTTTTTTCTTTCGTTTTGTTTCTTTCGTTCTTTCTTTTTCTTCTCTTTTCTTTTTTCTTCTTTTTTCTTCTTACTTTCTTTAATTTCTTCATTCATTCGTTCATTCATTTATTGATTCTTTCTTTCTTCTTTTATTCATTTATTGATTATATTATTTCTTTCTTTCCTTCTTTATTTATTTATTTATTTATTTCTCTTTTTTTCTTCTTACTTTCTTTCATTTCTTCCTTCTCTCATCCATTCATTTACTGATTTTTTCTTTCTTTCCTTATTTATTTATCTATTTATTTATTTTCTCCTTTCTTTCCTTCCTTCTTCCTTTCTTTCTTTCTTTCTTTTCGTTCTTTCATTCATTCATTCTTTCACTCACTCACTCATCCATGCTTGTTTATCCGTTCATGCTTGTACATCTAAACTCATTCACTTGCTTCAAAATCCTCACAAAATCACAATAAACCCACAACCCACACTTAGCGTTAAAAAAAATCACCAAATCACAATACCTCACAAGAACATAACCCACACTTAGCGTTAAAAAAAAACACCAAATCACAATACCTCACAAGAGCATAACCCACACTTAGCGTTAAAAAAAAAAAATCACCAAATCACAATACCTCACGAGAGCATAACCCACACTTAGCGTAAAAAAAAAAATCACCAAATCACAATACCTCACAAGAGCACAACCCACACTTAGCGTTCAAAAAATCACCAAATCACAATACCTCACGAGAGCATAACCCACACTTACCGTTTAAAAAAATCACAAAATCACAATACCTCACAAGAGCATAACCCACACTTAGCGTTTAAAAAAAATCACCAAATCACAATACCTCACAAGAGCATAACCCACACTTAGCGTTAAAAAAAAAAATCACAATACCTCACAAGAGCATAAACCCACAACCCACACTTAGCGTAAAAAAAAATCACCAAATCCCAATACCTCACAAGAGCATAACCCACACTTAGCGTAAAAAAAAATCACCAAATCACAATACCTCACAAGAGCATAAACCCACAACCCACACAGCGTTTAAAAATCACCAAATCACAATACCTCACAAGAGCATAAACCCACAACCCACACTTAGCGTTAAAAAAAATGGCTTGCAATGCACTAACACTTACCATCCTTATTGCAGACTGTGGTGGTTGCAACATGAAGTTCTCGCACCCGCTGTATTACCGGATGCACTGCTCTGTCTTCCACGACCCAAACTATTCACTTACCATCCGCAAGTACCACTGCAAGGTAAATTGTAATGCACTGTCATTTGGGTCGTAAGTTGGCATTCACGGTGTGGTTGGGTCGACCTTATGATGCTGAGATTTTTTGTTGTTTGTGTCTTGTTGTCTTCTTTTCTTGTTTTATGGGTGATTAAATAATGTTTTTTTTTTTTTTTTTATTCTATGTTTTATAAATGATGTAGATGTGGTAGGTCAGTCGTGGTTGATTATTTTGGTGTGTGTTTTTTGGTCATTTTTTTCTAAAGTGGCATTTGCGTGTAATGAGGAATTCATTATACCAAAAGTTTGGAAAAGTTGTTCGGTAAATAGTTCAGTAAATGGTAAATAGCATCTCGAACACATGACCTATTACCAACTTTTCCTATTAGAACGTAATGAGGTTATGCTTCAAAATACATTTTTTGATCACAAACACAAATATATATATATTTTTTTTTCTTAGTAATTTCAACAATGGTGTTCATTATTTCTAGTATGCCATCTCTTTATTTTTCTTTCTTTTTTTTTGTAAATGTTAAGAATTAATAGAACAGTAAACTACATGTATTTGAAGCATTTTCATGCAACTTTGTTTAATAAAATAATTTAAGTGACAAACTGTAAATATTATGTTCACTCCAACTTATCAGATCCAATTTTGTAAATAAAACGAACTTATGAAACACACAACCCAATACCTCAGAACTAACAACCCAAACTTCACACAGATAATACGAGGAAATATGAGCCACGTTATCAAGAACTTTTTAGGGTCCTTTCCACGCGAGAGACTAATAGAGGTGCATCATTTTAAGGAGACATATTTCGAGGTCTTTTTCATAATTTTTCTCTAAACATGAATGGTATTTCTCTATCTTTAAATTAGGATTTCGAATAGGATTCCTTCTGATATAAAAACAAGAAAAAAACATAACTTTATAGGCAGGTCTTGGTCACTTTATGTCTTTCTTTCCAGGTTTTATTTACACATGAATCTCCCCACACCTTTCCACCTTTCTTCAAAAGAAAAAAAAAAAAAATGGAAGAAGGCTCTAAAGAAATCAGTCTTCCGAAAAAAAACATGTACACCAGAATATCCATCTTCTAAGGAAGGCTCCCCTACACGAGAAACTACCATCAGGTTCCCACAAGACCCACACAACAAAAAAAGCAAAACAAATCAGTGCCTTCCTTCTACACTCATCACCAGCTCCCCCCCCCCTCTACACCCCTCACCAACTACACCCCCCCCTTTTACACCTATCACCCCCCCCCCTTATGTGAGTCTCTCTAACGCCCTCTGCCTCCTGCAGGTGTGTGGCCTGGCGGTGTTAGGGAAAGAGAACATAATGCGCCACGCAGCTGAGCAACACGAGGGGCGTGGTGCCTACCAGTGCCAATACTGCAAGAAGGTACGTTTCGGCATGATCCTGCATGGCCCTTTGCCTGGTCCTGGCATGAGATTTTTAGTGAGTGGTGCTGCAACTCCAGAAGACATAACGTGACTGATACTCCGGGTTGTTCCGGGGATAAGAAAGAGTTCAAGGAAGTACTCATTTCTGATGGTGATAGTCAAACATATAACTGTTATGGTAATGTTTCATTTTAATTATCTGTTTTGTTTTTTGTCTTGTCAATTAGGGTTACGTTATTTTTCAAAATCGTTGTTTCATAATGAACATGGAAAAGACCATTTCTCCATTCATTAATATCTAACATTTTCTACCGACTATTTTTACGTCAGAATCACATTTATAATGTTTATTCCAAAAGGTCAATCTAGAACTAAATGAAATAAAAACAGGAATGAAAATAGCATTTTTTATATGTTACAGTAACTTTGGAGATACATTGTATGTATTATTGTCCTTTTGTGCCAACTTTCAAAAAAATGAGACAAAAAGATCATTTTTCCCAAGTGCAATTATGTTTTAATGGTTTCTTGCTGCCGTAAGGAAAAAAGATACGAGAAAACAAAGCTCTGTAAGGCTTTATTGTGCAGTTACATGAATCTATATATGCAAAGACAGCAGGATTTAATATTTTCTTTAGCATTCATTAATAGTGCAAATGTAAAAGAATAGAATGCATATATATACATATATTTTTAGCTTCTAAAACCATTATCATTACTGTCATTACCATTATTATTATCGTTATCATTATAAGTAGTAAAATAATTACTAATATCATAATAATTTACATAACTGATTACCCCTTCTTACCCAGTATCAGTCATGGATATGTCTACTTGTAAAAACTGAAGGTGAACATCTACTGCAACTTTGAGAAAGATTAAACTATTGATTTCAATATACCTTTTTATAATTACCTGACTTAACTTTTAGCATATATACACATGTGCATACATTCATATGTGCAAGCTTTCGTGTGCGTTTGTGTGTGTGTGTGTGTGGTGATGATATATATATATATATATATATATATATATATATATATATATATATATATATAATATATATATATATATAATATATATATATATATATATACACATATAAATATATACACATATAAATATATACACATATGAATATATATATGAATATATACACATACAAATATATACACATATACACACACACACACACAACACTATATATATATATATATATATATATATATATATTATATATATATATATATATGTGTGTGTGTGTGTGTGTGTGTGTGTGTGTGTGTGTGTGTGTGTGTGTGTGTGTGTGTGTGTGTGTGTGTGTATATATATTTATATGTGTATATATTTATTGTATAT